CATGCGGTTCTTCACACTCAGTCCTCGATAGATATTCTTACGCACCAGATGGACTCTCAATAATTTTTTAGTTTTTTGGTTTATCAACAATTTCAAAATTTTGTATTAGTAAGTTAACTTTTTCTAAGCTTCCATCATAAATCCTTATAAATTTATCTTTTCAGCTTTAATTTTGGAACGTTCAAACTTTCTTGGCTTTTCTTTAACGATGAAAATCATGTTTTAAAATTAATTCTTAAATTCTTTTGTTATATCTTGCCCATCAGGCTTTTAACTTTGTTAATAAGTTGGAATTTTTGGAATTTAAACTTTAGAGGTTGTTCTTATGTGTCGTATTTTCTATACTTTTCCTCGTGGTTCCTGTGAGATGTTAATTGAATTTTACTCTCTGACTAATATCTCGTAATTTGACGGTAACTATTAACATCCTATTATCTAGTTAATTTTAATAATAACAAACAATTTGTACATTTCAGTCGTGCCAGAAGAAGGGAGAAGTTACTCCCGAAACTAGTAGCACTGATCTTAAATATTTTTTATTAAATATATTTTCATCGTTTTCTCAAATTTTTTCTTTCAACCATTACGATGAACCTAGAATCGAAGATCGCAAGATTAAGTGATTTTACTGACAAGAAATATTCGTTTCTACAAACACCGCTCCGGTGATATGATTCGCACGCTACCTATAACAAATTTCTTGCTTTTCGGGGAATACCCGACATATGCATTGAATGCGTTCGGAGTGGTTTACTTTTAATTGTTTTATTATTTAGTCATCTGGTGATGATAGTGTCTACGCAACCTGTCATATTTGCAAATAGACTTTATCGTTTAAAACCACAAACTCAAACTTTATCACAAACAAAAAAGGATTCAGAGAATTTGTAAAATCACTAAATAAATCATATGAGCTACCTAGTAGGCATATAATTTCAAAAACGCTAATTCCAAATTTATTCGAAAAATGCTATTTAAAATGCCAAGAATGTAGATACTTCCGACTTTTGGACCTCCATAAACATCAAACGTTATATAGCTTTAACAGCACATATGTATGATAAATGAAAACTTTAAATAAAAACGATTTTATTAGATTGTAAAATAATGGAAGGACATCATACAGGTAAAAACTTAACAATATAATAGATAAAGTTATACTAGTTGTTTCTGACAATGCATCGAATATTAAAAATGCTATTACAGCTAAACTAAAACTAAACCATTTTAGATGTTTTGCTCANGTAACAAGAAAACCGTGGATCCGAAAATTTTCAGATTAACATAAGTTACGTAGAAATGTTCAGTGATTACAACAAATTTTGTTGCAATTTTTTTTATGGAGCGGTTGCGAAGATATCGATCTCTAAAGTGAGGGGCCTTGACTTTTTGCACAGATAGTAGTAGTTTAGAAGGGTAGGTTGAAAGTACAAATAGGGTCAAAACGTGCTCTATTATGAATTAAGCATATTCCCTAAATTTCATTTTCCTAGCGTTTATGGTTTTTGAGAAAACAAAATTAAACCAAAATTTTCCGCCATTTTTGGAGGGGCGTAGCTCTCCAGGGGGGCCGAAGTCGCCCATGGTTCATATATGAAAGTACCCTTAAAATTCACTAAAGAATCGCCCCTTGAAGTTTGTTGCAGTCATTCAGATACACCCTGTATATGGCTATGTTATTTCTGTAAATC